CCCCACGGTTATCGGAGTACCCCCTCGGTCAGTCGGCAGTCCAGGGCACTGTGTGTCCGAGTGGATCGCAACGCGATTTTGCGAACCCCACTCCACCACATAGCAGCCAACAACTAGAACAGCCACACTCCAGTAGCAGCTGTCCCTTGTAAACTCAAAGTAGACGTCCGCTACGAACACCGCGAAAACTACGCCGATCGGACCTCCAAGCACGCCTTCCACGCTCTCATACATCAATCGACGCAAGTACACCAGCATAAACAATAGTAGCGTGACAGCCAAGTAGACACCCATCAGGAAATCGCCGGTCCTTTCGATCACCGCCACCGTAGCTTCCCCCTGTTGCCCGGGAGTACCTGCAGGTAGACACCCAGAGTAGCTGGACCGCGTCCGGCACAAACAAACAGGAGTAGTGGTGGAACGCTTCACACCATCTCAAGCATAGCCTTCCCGTTATCCCAAATCGCGACTCATAATCTTGCAGCACTGCAATAGGAATCAGGAACGCCAACGAGACTAGAGCGCACGCATTTTCAAGAGGAGGTAGAGCTAAGGCATTCGCGTTTCGTGCTGCTTCGAGGTATCGATCGCTACAGGTGTACCAGAAGTAGACTGCCCTTCCGCTGTCGACAACGCTATCCAGGAACGCCCACGACACATTTCTGAGTGGAGTAGTCACCACCCACACAACAATGCCAGCAACGGCACTGCTAGCGAGCGCCCAGTGATTTGTAGTTCCTGCTACCTCCGCTATCCCTGCGGCTCTAGTCCATGTTGTCCAGCTCTCCATAGTCCGCCAATTCTCGAAGTGAACCTCCAACAGTCGTCCACAGCCCGGACAGGTGTCCTACCTGACGCCTACTTGCTCTAGGTCAATCTCCATCATCGCTGTCCACTTCAATGCCCCTTCCCAGTTGGCGTCTCCCTGGTGTACCCAACGGCAGTCCCTAATCGTCTCCGGAATGAGATCCTTCATTTCTCCGTTTTCTAATTGACCTACGCAGTTAACACCTTCGTCATGACGACTCGACTCACAGCCGCCGAGTTGAAGCGGTTTCGCGCTTTCCTCGACGCCTCTATCGATCGCGGAGAACATGGTCCTTCCTCCGACGACGCTAATGCCAACACTGGGACAAGCTGCGTACGCATCTCGGGGTTAACGGCATGTCCACGGGCCTCCAGCACCTCGATCAACTTGTTGAAGACATTATCCAAGGCAAGTCGAGGGTCGGCTGCAGGGCCCGGTTGTGATTTTGCCCGCCGCACCCGCGACCAGGGACTCCGCGGGACCGTCCAACAGTCACCCTCTTCGGCTAAGAAACCCGCGACGTCCTCCAAGAAGGCCTCTAAACGGAAAGCTAGCAGCGACGACACTGCCATCAAGTTATCCTCCATGAAGCCGCGCTCCATCAAGAAGTTGACAGCATCGACGCTTCCATCGTATGGCTTCGCCAAGCTACTAGAGGTGAATCCCAACGCTCCCCGAGTCGTACGAACCGCTATCGCTATTGTCCTTCACAAGACAGAAGAAGGCGGCAAGACGCCCTGGCGCCTGGCGTACCCTTGGTCGGGTCGACCACTCCGGTACGATCCAGCTGACGATCGGGATGTCCATCGAGAGCACGGGCGGTTTTGGATTACTCACCGACGCGCTTTCTGGAAGTGGCCCTCTCAAATCGAGCTCAGCCCAGTCCAATCGCCAAAAGCTGAAAATGCGGGCACCTCTCGCTCGTCTGTCCTTCACGAGCGTTTGTATCGAGACTTGGGGCTTTTACGCGTTCCTCGAGAAGCTGGAGAAGCGCCCCGAAATGTTCTGGTTGGGAGGCCAGCCCGTCAAGTCCCCACGCGGCGGTCGTCAACCCCAATGACCCATCGCCGAGGATCTCGCTGTCCTCCACGATACGGATCAGGCCAGATACGAGGTTACGCTCGAGAACGCTCTAAATCCTGCGAAAGCGGACACCTATGGGTACTCACAGGTACTCTCCTTCGTTGAATTCAACGAAGCCCTGAATCCCAAGGCCATCGCGAAGAACCGTCTCTCCATGACTGCGTTGGCACGCATCCGGCAAGATCTCACGTCTGGAACCAAACTCAAGACGTCGTGAATTATCAACCAGAATGCCGAACCTTGAAAAACGCTCATCAGCTACAACGGCGTCAAGCAACACCAACTCGACGTTATGGCCCAAATGGCCGATGGAACTTACGAACTCCCCTCCGTTGACCATCCAACCCAAAAGAAACGCGACGGCGAAGACTGGTCTGACTTTGAGGACGCAAGAGACGACGATGCTCAAGCCGCATCCTCCAGCGCAGGGACAAACACGCTAGCCCAAGGTGATGACGAGGACGCCAACGAGAACGATGAGAACGACGAAGACGGAGAAGACAAAGGCGACG